GCGCAATGAGGATGACCCGCAGAGTCGGCTGCTGTGGGTCAAGGCCGATCCTGGTAAGGGTAAAACGATGCTGCTATGTGGGATCATCGACGAGCTGCAGGAGCCGAATACACCTAATCCTTTAGCATACTTCCTCTGCCAGGCTACAGACTCACGCATCAACAGCGCCACGGCTGTTCTGCGAGGTTTGTTATACTTACCGGTCGAGCAGCAACCATCACTAATCTCGCATGTTCGGAAGAAGTACGACCGTGCTGGCCAAGCACTATTCAATGATACCAACGCATGGGTTGCCTTGTCGGAGATTTTAACAAACATTCTGAACGACGCAAATCTTGAAAAAAAGTACTTGATCATCGACGCGCTCGATGAGTGCACTATAGACTTGCCAAAGCTACTAGACTTTATCGCTCGGAACTCTTCGAAGTCGCCACGCGTCAAATGGATCGTCTCGAGCCGTAATCAGCCAGATATTGAGGAAGGGCTAGAGAAGCCTAGCCAAGAAGGGAAGCTGAGTCTTGAGCTCAACGCAAAGTGGGTCTCGCAGGCCGTCGACACCTTCATCAGTTATAAGGTTACCCAGCTGGCACGAAATAAAGGATACGACCGGGAGACTATACAAGCCGTCCGGGAACATCTAAAAAAAAATGCGAACGACACCTTTCTTTGGGTGGTATTGGTATGTCAAGAACTCGGAACGGTTCCGGCATGGAAAGCCAACAACGTGGTTAGAAGCTTTCTAAGGGGGCTCGACGATCTATACGCACAAATGATGCGGTAGATCAATGCCTCGGATGACGTTTTCATCTACAAGTAGATATTAGCTTCGGTCGCGATCGTGTATCGACTAGTTACGATTAAAGAGTTAACTTCTCTCGTAACGCAGCTTCAAGGCCCAGCTAGGTATCCGGGTGCACTGCAGGATATCCTTAGCTCCTGCGGATCATTCCTTACTGTACGAGAAGAAACTGTTTACTTTGTGCACCAATCGGCGAAAGATTTTCTACTGACGAAACCATCTCCTAAGACACCCAACGGAGCATTCGATGAGCTATTCCCCTCTGGGAAACCTAAAGCCCATCACTCGATTTTTTCTAGGTCCCTCGATGTCATGTCCGGAACATTACGCCGAGACATGTACGATCTGAAAGAGTTAGGGTATCCTGCGGAGAAGATCAGACAGCCCAATCCAGACCCGTTAGCAGCGTCGCGCTACGCGTGTTTTTACTGGATCGATCACCTCATCGATTCTGACCTCAACGTTTTATCTGAACATGCAACAACTCTCTAGGACGGAGGCTCTGTTGATACATTTCTAACGCAGAAGTATCTCTACTGGCTGGAAAGTCTTAGCCTTTTCAAGGACATGTCTAAGGGAATTGATTCTATAACGAAGCTGGAGAAGCTGGTCCAGGTATCTTCTAAACAGGTCATGCACTTACATACATAAGAAGCTAATACGTATTAGAAAACGTTAAATTTAGTTAAGCTTAGTAGGCTTATCCAAGACGCTCGGCGGTTCATCATGTATCACAAGGGAGTAATTGAGCAATGTCCGCTTCAGGCATATGCGTCTGCACTCCTATTCAGTCTAGAAGGTAGTATAATCAGACGCCTTTTCAAGGAAGAAGAGCCGAGGTGGGCAACAATAAAACCGGCCGTTGGCAATATATAGAGTGCTTACCTGCAGACGCTCGAGGGCCATAGCAGCTGGGTTAGCTTAGTAACCTTCTCTCCCGACTCGACCCGGCTGGCGTCGGCGTCGTATGACAAGACCGT